TTATATTTGTAGATTGTAGCTGTGCGAGAATACAAATTAGTTGTTTTTTCAGTCAAGGTGAAGTAAGTGATTTGTATGTTAGAAAGATTGCTTTTTTGTACAGAGAGTGAATCATAATTGTATCAAAGATGGAGCATATCTTTGGGTAGAGTAGACACTTGTCAAAGTTTTGTAGAAAAGGAAGTGAATACAAGCAGCCCCTTGGTGAATATGACAGTGTAAATGTAAATTGTTATGAACATTACATGAAAATAAATCTTATTGGTGCGTACTCTGTTTGAACTTGAATGTTTTGAATCAGTTTCAAACTTTGTTGTTCGAGCTCTTCCCTTTATTGTTTGGTAAGGCCGTGTTGATTTGATTATATGGATGACATCCTCTGGGAACCCCAAAACTGATGCAAGCGTGCGAATGGAAAATGTGTAATGTGGCCAACTGCCGCCGCGCCGCGTGCTTGCGAAGCAGGTGTGTTACGCCGAATGGCGGTTATACCGGCTATACAGATACAAGGCAGATAACGTAAGGCTCATTTTGTATTGATCAGAAAAAAATGTACCTGTACAACTGTTACGTGACGCAAAAATCCCGTGTTTGAGGAGCAAGTGAAAAATCACGACACACTTTATCACCGTTTAAATCTTACAGCCTGGTCTCAGGGTTGACGCCTTGAAAACGTGAGGGTCGCCTGTTACGCCAATTCTTCCATCTAACAGGCAAGCCTCCAAAAGTAAAAGGTTCGATTGAACCTTAACAGCATACATTTAATGCATGCGTCAAGAGCCCGGGGACGACCTTGACTGAACACGTATGAGAGAAGCGCATGCGTGTTTGATTCCATTAGGGCACAGATGAACCATCTTGAACCCACTATAATTATGCAAAACTAGCCTCCACTAGGCCTTTCTACGGGAGTACGGATCGCAGAATTCGGCAAAAACGAGAGTAAAATTGTCCAAGGAAGTCCGGCCGCGGGGAGGTAGTTTTTTCCCTCCCTACGCGGCCAGTCAAACCTACAAGGTGGCCAAACTCCCCTGGTAAATATTCTCCTATATACTAGTATAGCCAGCGTAGTTAGTGTGGTAGAGACTACATCATAATTATGCAGAATCATCTTGAACCCAACATATTTGGGCAGAACTATCTTTGCCACGTCTCCTGTTTACTCCAACAGCAGCTGCGTCTGACGAGCCGAATTTTCCTCTCCGCAAGAAAAGTCGCAAAGCTGCATGCGTCGTTCTTGGCTTCCATACTGTGCTCGGTTGGAAAAAGT